AAGAGCGTAAGTCTGTCCTCAGATCTTACTTTGAGTTCTGATGCTGTGCCTGCAAGCTGCCCATTTAGGGGGAGTTCCTACAAACCGGCTGCACTATTGGGAGGAACTGATTGGCGTCAATCCTCATAGCAGACCTGACTTGAGTGACGGGGCTCATCCACCACGCCCACAGATCTGCAGATGATCTGGATTGTTAATGACCTTGAAAATGCAGTGTTAAGATCCACCTGTCATCTTCACATGCCTCTTGGCACACATTTCCGAGAGTCTTCTTGGAAGATGGATTCTCCTGGCCTTCTTCCCTCTTCTCAGGTCTGCTATGGACTATGCCAGTTGCTGCTAAAGGCAGTAGAAATGTGTGGCGTTGCAAAACATTGTACTTTGCAGGGAATATTTGTCACCCAACATTCACTCTTTGTCATTAGGAACAGTTGCTCCTGATTAAGAAAATAAGGAGGGGCTGGGGTTGTGGCTCGGTGGCAGAGCGCTTGCCTTGCACATGTGAGGCACTGGGTTCGATCCTCAGCACCACATAAAAATGAAGAAACAAAATAAAGATATTGCATCCGTCTATAACTTAAAAAAATATTTAAAAGAAAAGAAGGAAAGTTGCCACTCTTAATCTACGCAGTACTTGGTTGATCAATATAAAGTTTTGATCCTTACAAAAATGTGCTGGATTTTCAACTTCCAGAGCAGTGTAAATAATTGGCTTTAAATGTTTTTAAATATCTTTGTTTTAAATGTCTCCACTGCACTGTGTTTCAATATCTTAATATCTAAGAATGATTTTGTGTTTCAGTGCGAAGGGTGTAGGTAACCCATGCTGAGTCATTAATACAATGGTCATGGGTCTATATAAGTTTCTTCTAAAGGCCAGGCATTTTATAAGATTCTGGAACTGAATAAGCATGATTTTTTTTCAACTACTTTATAAGGGGAAATGTATGATGGAAATAAATTTATGGCTGCTGACAACTCACCCTAGCAAGTATTCTTACAATGACTAAGAAAGAAGAGACATCGTATTTTTCCTCTCTTTTTCCTCAATCATTCCTTTTTACTTGGAGCCCCCAGAATTAACCTGCCATAATGCCAAGAGTCCAAAAACTTGAGGAACATTTACTCTGGGTCACCCCAATAACAGGCCTGGCTGAGCATATGTGTGTCCTTCTGCATGAGACCAAGGAGAGACAAGGCTTCCCAGGATTGAATGTGCATATAAATTATTTGAAAGACGCTGTTAAAATGCAGATTCTGATTCAGTGGATCTGGCTTGGGACCTGAGACCCCACTTCTAGGCAACTTCTGGGTGATGCCAGTTCTATTGATTAGACAACGGCACTGTGAGGAGCAAGACAACAGACAATCTCACATCTTTTAAATAAATTCTGTCTCTTCCAGTAGGAAGTATGATTGCTGTGGAAGATGTAGGAGAGATCTGTTTCTACCACCATTAGGCCTCAGCTCCTAGAAAATAAAGGGCAAACTGTCCCCTTTGGACTAAAATGTTGCAAACAGCAGCCTACAGTATAATCTGATTTCCATTCACACTTTTAGTTCAAGAAGAGCCACCAGGCAGCCAAACCGTCTTAGAGCATTGAACATAATTTGTAATGGAAATTTAAAATGATAGTAAATGAAGATCATTCCACTTATTTTGTGAAGAGAGGAATCAAAGCATTTAGCAGACATTGATTACAGCGTGTCCGCACCCAGAGAGTGCATTTGGCATGAGCGTCATTACATCTGGCTCAGGATCCAGACTTCCTTTCCTGATTGTGTTTTCCCAGTGATTGTCATTAGTATGCAGAACACAAACAGGAAGATTCTCTACTAGGTCGTGTAAGGTTTCACTCTGCCTGCAAAGTGTCTTTTGATTACTTGAACCTATCAGAGCATGTGCATTTTGGTCAAATATTTTTAAATTCCCTTCTCTTTTAGCAATATGCATTCTTCCCTGTCTGAATGGGGGTCGCTGTGTGGCCCCGTATCAGTGTGACTGCCCACCTGGCTGGACTGGGTCCCGCTGTCATACAGGTAGGCTTCCTTTCACAGTTTATTTTCTCGGTGGCTTGGTCCCACGGAAGCCCAACATGGACAAGTAAAAGTGAGGCTCAGAGGAGGTGTTGGAACAAAAGGTTCCCAAAGATTCTCAGACTTCTCAAAACCGTCATTGGAATGATGGTCTCGACACTGAACTGGATCAATGCCTGGAAAAAACACCTTTCAGGGGGCCTGTGCCAAACAGCAACCTCAGGGCCAGAGGGGTGGCTCAGGGGTACAGTGCCCAGCTCTCTGATCCCCAGCACCACAAAAAAGGAAAAAAGAAAAAGAAAAGGCCCTAAAATAGCATAAGAATAACACCTTTGCTGACTCTTTCGCAGCCTATAGAGTGGATGTTATGCAGAGATTCCGAAATTTTATTTTAATCTCTATAAAGCTAAATTACTAAGTTTTTGATTACTATTTAGAAAAAAAAACAAAGTCATAAATAAATATGACTTCTGTAAAGGTGGGAATAAAATTCTTCAGAAGAGATGGTTCCTTATCATGGACAATAGTAAAAAACTGCAGTTGGTTGGTGACAAGCATGTCCCCTTATAGCCCTTGCCTACCTGAAATACAGCATTTAGTCTGCTTTGACTTCTGTTTAATTGCTTGGTTATCTATCTATCCTGGCCCCTACTAGATTATAGCCACTTGAGGGCAGAGATATTTCTTTGTCGTCTTTATATCCCCAGTGCACAGTGTAGTGCCCAAATATAATAGGTATTTCCATAAAGGTCAAATAAAACAGTTTAAAACGACAGGATTTTTTTTTCTTTTTAATGTTCTAAAAATTTAAGCAACTGTCAAAAGACTAAGGCTTCCTCTATTTGTTAGGTATGAACTCTGACACTCCAGTACAAATGTTTATACCACCTCCTCTGTGGGTCAAATTTAAAATAGAACAGGCTTTCAGACACTGGAACTTGTCATGAGCAAGTTCAGAAGCTGCAAAGAGGATTTTAAGCAGGAAAATTATGTGATCAAATTTTCTTTTAAAGAAGTGCTGTGGGCAACACTGTGGAAAATGGCAGAAAGCAAGACTTAAAACAGGAGATTAGTTGGAAGGAAATAGAAGCAGAATACAAAAGAAGTAATGAATCTGGAAAACAATAACCGAGAAAAGGTGGATCTGAGAAAAGTGAGAAAAGGAGCATAAATGTTACTTGGTTACAGATCTGCTGTGGGGATAAAGATCCAAGAGGAGTCAAGCATGCTGGTCCCAGGAGTGGCAGGTGGTGTTATTTACTGAGCCACAGAAACCAGGAGACAACACAGGCGTGAAGGGGAGGAGGGGGTTAAGTGAGGAACAGAGGAAGGGCCTACTGAGTTTTGGGGGTGTTCTGTGAAAATTCAAGAGTAGGCCGTTGTGTGATAATGTAGTTTCCCAAAAGGTACAGCTGGATTGAAGATAGGGATTCATAAGTCATCCATGAAAAGCATTCAGCGGGGAGAAAATAAGACTGTGGAATATATGTGGCATGAGAAGGTAACCCAGAATGGAACCCTGACATTTTCAGAAAGGAAGAAGTTGTTAGGCTTTTCAACAGGGAAATAAAAATAATGACAAATTAATTAGGACTGCCAGGCACCACTAACTCAGGGTTCCCCCAAAAAGGAGTAATGTTTTCTTATATCAGCAAGCAGAAACTTTGGAGAGTTGATTTTAGATTATTGGGGTTTATTTTCGCTGGTTTTAGTCCTATTTATTTTATCATTTCTTTTCTTATTAAATTGCAAATAAGTGCATTCTTCAGGCCTGCTATTGCTCTTTAACTTACCCAGAGAATTCCTCAAGGGGAAAGGCTGATGTTTCACTTCTGCCCTCCCTTGTCCTCTCCACCCTTTGCTGGTACTTACTTAAGCATTTCCCCCATACTTTGAATGAACAACTAGACAAATGACATTTATTTATATATCACCAAAGATGAGTTTTTCATCCAGGAAAGGGCTTACCAAACTTCAGATTTGTGAGAAAGATACCTAATGCAATAAATCTTTAGTTATTCTCTGAGGGTTTCTTCTGTGGTTAATTTTTAACCCTACTTCAGCTTCTGTAATTCCAATTAAAGCTGATAAAAGCCATAAAATGAGACTCCCAGCCAACGCAAAGTGTGTATGAATCATCTGTTATTTTTTTATTTGTTTTAATTAGTTATACATGATAGTAGACTGCCTTTTGACACATCATACATAAATGGAGTCATATGTTATTTTAGATAATCCATGTGCCCAATTTATTATCCTAAGAGTTGGTGTCTGACTTAATCACTCAACCAATCATAGAGTGTAAAACCAGCTCCTTCAAGAGTTGTACAATCTGGTTTAGCATATGACAAATTTATAGTGCGAAGCAATCAAAGTGCCAGACCATTGGCATAAATAAAAAGATTAAAGAAGACAAAAGTCAGTGGACTTTCAACAAGTAGGTAGAACTTAACTTGGGGCTTAAATTAAGTAGCTTGATGTGGGGAGAGGGGAGGTGGTACTGCCTAAGATTGCAAGGTCAAGTAGAAATGGATGATACAAACAGTGTTTAGTGGTGGTTGCTGCAGGAAGTAGACACAAATCCTATCCTGTGAGACTTCTTTAAAGTTTCCAAGTATTAATGAAATTAATGTTATGAATTTTTCACTCAGCTATTTGCCATTCTTCCTGCTTAAATGGTGGAAAATGTGTAAGGCCAAACCGATGCCACTGTCTCTCAGCTTGGACAGGACCCGACTGTTCCAGGTAAGACAACCCACAACTAACATGCACCTATAACATAAAGGATGGAATTCAGGGTTCCTTTACCTGAAGGGCCAGAAGATACCTCTAATTCAAGTGCAGATTTTGTATCCCGAAATATCTAGATACGCACTCTAAATTTGAACTAAAGCCAAAACTCAAAACTATTAGTTCAGGATTGACAGATAAAATTATGTATATCTTGAAAATATATAGTGTTGGCTCATTTTATCAGCACATATATTAAAATTGGAACTATAGAGAAGATTAATATAGCTTCTCTGCTCAAGGATGAGACAAATACATAAAGTATTCCATATCTTTTGCAATTAAAAAAAGAAAGAAAAGGGTTGAATAAATAGATCATTTTCTTGAACAGAGATTTTATCCTTCATGTGCAAGGATATAAAATGAATAATGAACTCAATATATTTTATTGAAAATGACTTAACGGATGTTTGAGCTCTTGATCACAATAAAAGTTGATGTTGAAATTGATAAGAAAATATTTATTTTGGTCTTGTCTTTTTAGTGTGTATAGATACAATATTTCATTGACTCAAGAAAAAAATTGTGTGAATACATGTTTTGTTATTGCTTTTCTCACTTTTGTTCTGGTAAGTATCAGAATTGAGAAACAAGTGTCTAACAAATAAGTCCTAAAGAAAATAGTTTTTAGATCATTTATAGTTTTTAAACCTCAGAAAATCCTGGACATATGGCCCCATACCCTGAATAAAATATGGTCAGTACTTGTTGTCTCCAGTGTTGGAATATTATCAGTTGAACTGTATGACTTTGAATATGCATATTACACGTAATTTTAAAAATTTGCTTTGTGCCTGTGAATTTTCTTAGATAATCACAAGTATATGCCATCTCCACAGAGTAAGATAAATAAATAAACAGAACTCTGAAGAAAACCTTGGAATGAACAAATGTATTTGGAGGCCCCTAAGACACAGAGCACAGGTGTACCTGAAAGCAGAGTTGAAAGAATTTAAGAACATGGTGGGGGTCAGGGGGGACAGTAACTCAAAAAGAACAAAAATTATATACACCTTTCTTGTAAGTTTAGACTTTTTATTTCAATCCTTCATTTTTACATAAGAAGAGAGGAAACCTGAAGTTTTCATGGTTCCCCAGTAACCAAATGTTCCTCTAGGAGCATTTCTTTGATCAGGAAAAAGGTACTTATGTAAAAACACTATTAATTAAGAGAACAGAACCTAGAACTTTTATTCAAAAGTTTTATATAAGAATCCAAAAAAAAGATTAGGGCAAATTAAGATGGAAAGTCTATCCTATAGGAAAGGAAAGGCTAACTAGCCCCCCAGAGGACCAGACAGGCTCCCCCATCTTATCTATAATCAGTTCTTCTAAGACTCCTATTAATGAGGACTCTCTTTTTAAAACTCTAACTCACTTAGGTAGAAAATGGCCAGGCACGGAGGCACATGCCTATAATCTCAATGACTTAGGAGGTTGAGACAGGAGATTTGCAAACTCAAGACCAGCAACAGCAGCCTCTCTCTGGCTACAGAGTGGCTTTCTCTGCTGTTCAGTTCACATGGAAGGGCATAAAAGCTCATAGTTCCCACATTTTACATGTCATTGTTCAGGATCCAGTGCAAATATCTGGGAGAAGGACCCTGATGGGTCCAGACTGAGTCCAGGGTTCAGCATGGACCCGTGGTGCTAAGCAGGGTTGTCATACTAATGCAAAAGGTGATTTTGGCAACACTCTGGGGAAAGGGGAGAAGAGCCTGATAATTCCTAAAAGAAAAGTAGGTGGAGTGTGATTCCCTGCAATGGGTGGGGAGAAAGCTTTTCTGAGACATCCGAACAATAAATGGTCATGAATAATTAGTTTTTTTCTTTCCCATGAGAACTGAATATGTTAAGGAGGCTATGCTTAATTTTGTGCAGGCACAAAATTAGATGCCCAATAAATAAATACTTGCTGATGGTGGAACAATTTCCTGGTATAAGTGAGAGCAGGTAGAGAAATGTCTTACAGCATTCATCAAATCCATCAACCCGTAACCTTCTTTCCTGGTGAATAAGACTGGCCTGGTCTTGCCCCCAGGTAATCCAGTTCCTAAGAAAATTGTTGGTTTTTCTAATCTCTATGCACAGCTTCCAAAACTTGATCCTAAATAAATACTATCATTAAAAATCACAGATTGTTAGTGCTCTGAGAGAGGGTTGTCAGACAGGAAACTAGTGACAGAGTCACAGCTAAAACTCAGGTCTGCAGGTCCTCGGGCCTGTTGTCCAAACCCCTCTCCCCAGGATGCCCCCCCAACCCTCCAGCCATCATCACAGATAATGGCTAGGGTCTTAAATCCTATTTCAGTCAGCCTCCCCCGAAGTATTTGCCTCTTCAGTTTTGTCTTTTCTTTTGAATCTATTCATTTTTCCCCCCAGAAAAAGGAAGATTGGTTTTTAACCACAACACCACCAACCAGTTCCCCCGAGTGGAATCATCTCTTCCTGGCAGTGCCTGGACCTCCTGGAACTTACTCGAAGAAAGTCCAACATGGTGCTGGGGCTTATTTTGTTTAGCAAACTTGTTATTTGAGATTTACTTTTTCTTTAATTTTATGATATATTTTGTTATTTCTTGTGACATCTTTTCTTACATGTTTGCATTTTTAAATATGCCTGTATTTTCTATATTAAAAAAATTATATTAAATAGATGCTGCTCCACCCTCATGAAATGTAACATACTCTGCTGTCTATGGGGAAAGTTCCTGGAACACATTTTTATTCCTTTACTTAAAATGATTTTTCCATTAAAATATATTTTGCTACTAAATAATATTTTTTCTGGATAGTGCCATTTTATGAGGTGGCCAGGGAATAATAAAGAAGATTCACGATCTTTCATCTACGTTACGGCCACAGCACACGATCCCATGTGGTGCACCAAGCAATTATAATCAAGGAGATTCCTTTCTTCTAGAAGCATCTTCTTTGCAGTGTGTGTAACAGTAAAAGATTTCCTCTTATTTAATCCCAAGACCTGGGATCCTCCACACAGAATTCTGTTCTGGAGTTGAAGGTAGCCAAGATAATTCCTTTCCCAATATTTTGAAAGATATAGACATTAATGTAGTTCATAAGGGGAATAAGTAAAATGACCTTGCACTACCATTTCTCATGCTTCCCTTACTTGTCATAGCTGAAATAAGAAATGCAACAGTTGGACGATTAATAGAGAGTCCATACTTGGGTCGTGATACAACTCACTGCTTTGGGAGAAGACAGACAGGAAAATGAAGACCGGGAAAAGCCAAGTGGGAAAGGTTCTGTCACGCTGTGCTCCTGGTCCTTCCTGCAAAACAAAAGTCTCCATTCTTTGATCTCCATCAGACCTCGGAAAATAAAGCCCAATCCTAAATTTTGTTTTCAAATAGGATATTCAAAATCAACTTGCTTCCATCCCCTGGGAGAGCTGCTCACCCACAGGACAACAGGGTACAATGTAGCACTGTGGAGAAACACAGGAAGGACCAAAACAATCTTGATTCTCCTGGTGGTGCTCTTCCCTCAGTCACCGACTCCATTCTCCTACATCCACTTTCTTGACGATTGTAACAAGCTTATGAGCCTAACTTTTGAAAGGTTTATTTTTAGTTTGTCAACTTCCACACTATGTTGATCTTTGTGATCTATAATATGAAAACCACAAAGCTTAAAAGTCTGAGAAGTAAAAGACAGGTTCCCAGAAAATATTTAAGTTAGGGGAAACAACCCTCAGTTCTCAAAGTACCTACTCAATGAGTATACCTGCTATGTAAAATTTGCACTGGGTTACTCTGAGTAGATTCACAATAAGTCAAATTAGTCATGTTATGCAGAAAGTATAAGAAAGTGAAGTGCCAAACAGGTGAGGTTTAGAAAGAAGACAAGTTGAGAAATCGAGTCATATTGGGATAACACTGTGCATATTTGGAAAGTGTTATTTTAAAATCTTCCATCCTGGACATGCCTCCTGGTGAATTTTCAACATGTTTTATGAACTATCATCCCACAAGCAGAAGAAGATGATAGATACTGAGTGATATTTACCAAACATTTGCCAAATGAAAGGAAAAAAAGATTAGATAAATAACTACAAGTCAATCATGTATTTTAGCCTCCAGCCCAGTTATGGAACAACCTCTAGGTACTAACTGCACTAGGTGTTTCACAGATATTATTTCCTTGAAGCCTCATCACAATCCTATGGAGATATATATTATGATCTCTATTTTACAGATGAGGAAAGTCAGGTTCTGAGAAATCAGATAACTTGTCTAAAATAACATAACCATTAAATGACAAAGCCCACCTGAAACCCAAAGCAAGTTTAAGGCACAGTAAAGCTCATTCTAGCATTATTGTTATCAGTGAAATATGGGCATGGACAAAATGCCCATCAATAAGGAAACCTAAACTGTACTACCTTGATGACACTTGCTGAATTGCATATTATGCAGCCTTCAAAATACTGCAATAGCCTGGAAAATGTCTGTGGTAGAAGGTTGAATGCAGGGGGAGGGATCAGGATAGCAAACTTCCAGGGTGTGGAGCGTAGTTTAGTTGTAGAGTGTGTGTTTAGCATGTGGGAGGCTCTGGGTTCAATCCCAAGCACCACCACCCTCAAATTTTAACATGCTCAAATGGTTAAAAATCTATTGAAAAGTGTGCATGATGAAAACCAGAAGGGAAAAATCCCCAACATTTTCTACATTTGGTCTCGTAATTTAAAATCCAGAAAGTTCTGAACCCAAATATCTGTGAAGTTTTTTTCATTATATTTAAAAACTACTTCTTTATTCTTGAATAGCCATTTGGCAAACTTAAAATAGTTAAAAACAGTAATTGAAAAACAAATCCATCAATGCATGACAATCAAATGGAATGTCTTATGCCACAAAAATGAAAAAAAAAAAAAAGTTTCATCATAATCAAGTTTCTGCCCTGTGTCACAGGAATCTCAAATACTTAAAAGCCATGTAATAGTTTCAATAGATGTAAGGAAGGCATTTGGACAAACTAATATCTAGTCTAATAAAATTTCCAAAGCTCAGATGAAACAGATACTTCTATAGTGAAGCTATAATGCTTAATACTCTGATGAAAGCAATAGTAGAAGCTAACCAGCAATTGTCATAAGCCAACTGGTTAGGTACACTATAGTCAAATAGATGTGAAGTTCCTGTGGCTTCCTGAAGAAGAGAAAGAAAGTAGCAAAATCAATGATGGTCAGAAGGAAAAAGAAACAAAACAGACAGCTCAGCAAGATCTTCTATTTCTTCTGCTGTCTGCAAG